GAGCGGGGCGGGCAGAGCGGGGCGGGCAGAGCAGGGTGGGACAGGGCGCAGCCGAGTCCCTGTGGAATATGGTGCCACTGTTACAAGCAGAGCAGCCGGTGCAGGCAAGGCCCACACCATTTGTCTTAACTGAGAAAGCTGGTTGCCAAAACTTCTATACAACATGACCTAATTTCCATGAAGAAAAGGATACGGAGAGGGACAGAGGGAGAGGTTTGCACGGACATCGAGGGACGCCCTGGGAACAGTGTGGTCACTCGTAGCACTTACCTGCAGAGGGAGGCGGGCGGCAGGGCGGACTCAGCGTTTCCACTTTCTCGGTCGTAACTGAGGCGTGAGACTCTTCGGTATAATCTGTAACGTGGAGACAGAGCCACAACCACCTGCCACTCCTGATGAGCAGGGCGCCAGGCTGCCCGCCTCTGCCCGCCACCAGGTGCCTCCTGCTCACACAGTGCTGATCACGAGGGGCCGGAGCGAGGCTGGACCCAGCCTTCTCTCCTTATTCCCACCTGCTTTGCTCTTAGGAAAATGACAGCGGCTGGTCCGTCCACTCACATCTAACCCTCTCCTGACCATTTAAGTTTTAGCAGCGGGCACTATTCATTTTGAAATGAAGCAGTTTGGTTGGGCATGGAGTTTATTAGAAATAGATTTTTTTCTGCTTCTGGCAGAAATGAGGTTAGGGGTTATCCAAGGCATGCACACACACAGATGTGCACAGACATGCACACACATGATGTGCACATCCAGACATGCACACACATAGATGTACACACACATGTGCACACACGGACACGCACACACACGGATGTGCACACAGACATGCACACATACGGATGTGCACACACATGCACACACATGTTCACCTGCGTCCACTCAGCAGGCTCGGCTTCTGTGGAAGGGTGACTACATGCAGACCTAGGATGACCGGGAGCCCGAGGGCCAGCGCCGAGCAGCCCTCAGCAGGATGCCCTGCCAGGTGCACCAGCACGGGGGCGGCGGGGGCTTCCAATGGCCATGCGGGGGCGCGTGCCCCCGACCTCTCCCTCCTCGTCCAAGCGCTGCCTCAGACGCGGGCGGTAGTCCGTCCTCAGTGTGAGGCCCCAGGGCTCTGAGTGGCTTCCGACACACGGACAGATATGACATCAGGTTTATTGAGCTGTTTACACAGGGCCACATACACATTTACGACGTTTTAAAATGAGACAAGGACTGGTCACGCGCTCCTGTCGACTGTCAGTAAAGCGCCCTCCCGCTCCCGGGAAGAGGCCTCGTGCGGCTCTTTGGGCCGTGGTGACGCTGAGGGAAACACTGTCCACCGGTGACCGGGGCGCAGCCCGGCTCCAGGTAAACACCGTCTGTGACACTGGACGGCTGAGAGGGGCCCAGCTCAGGGTGTCTGGGTGCAGCCCAGGGGCATCCCCGCTGGCCTCCCCGGCCGCTCCCGCCACCATCCCAGTCGCCGCGTGCTCACAGGTCTGGGATGCATGGGAAGGATCCACGGCCTCCATGCTAAGGGGGCCGTGTGGTAAACGGGGTGAAGATGCACACAGCAGGCCAGGCGCTTGGGCTGGGGGTGGCCACACAGTCCTCTGCCCTCTGCCCTGTGGACGCCACTCCCCAGACGTGTCCCCCAAGTTCACCAGGTGGGCGGACCGGCAGCCAGGGCCGCATCTGCCAGCATTGCACAGAGGCGCTCCGGACACTGTTCTCACATGAAACAATCCTCCGCTTAAACAGAGAGGGCAGTAAGGCTATTTTCATTAGGAGACTAGGCTTCTCCGTGTTTCTGGTGTCGCCCGATGGCCAGGGGCCGCTGGGTGAGGGGCCTGAAGGAACGCCATGGTGTCCCTTTAGTGCTGAGGGCCCTCATAAAGCAGGACCCCTTGAGGGGGCACGCTGCTCCCTGCGGCTGTGGCCTCGAAGCAGGAGAGGGGTCCCCGGGCCTGCAGGGCGCTTCAGGGAAGTCCTCCGCGGGCTCCTGTGTCCGCAGCCCAGCGCAGCCCCCGGGGACCGGGTGGGGCAGGGATGGGCCTGCAAGGGCCCGGCTCCCGCCGAGGACAGACATCCAGGCTGGGAAGCCTTCCGCAGCGGTGGGGCCAGCACATCTCGCTCAGGGGTCACTCGGTGTCCCCTATTCTCTTTGAAAACGGGTCCATCTACACAGCCAAACACGATGAACAAAGCCAGCTACTAGTAAATGCAGAAGTTTAACAATGATTCGATCTAAGGCCCCGTCCAGCTAGGAGGTGGCCAGTTCCACTTGGGCCGGGCGCAGACCAGGGTGCTGAGCGGGTGCCGATTTCCCCGGCACCCGGGCCCACGTGGCTGCGGCTCACGGACGGGCTGGCCGGCACTAGATGACCGAGGTCTCAGTCTGCAGGAAGGACGGGGAGTGGGAGCCGCGGTGGGAAGGCAGGGTGCTCTCAGAGCCGTTCCTGGAGATGGACAGGCTGTGGAGCTGGTCGCCCCACCCCGAGGGCTGGCGTGGGCACAGGCTCTGCCACTTCCTTCTCAGCTCGTTCTGCACCTGGGGGTCAGGGCAAAGCAAGAGGAGCCAGTCAGGAGGTGCTCGGGGTGCACCCAGGCAGGGGGTGCCTTCCGCAGAACACACTTCTCCCTCTGCCCCTCCTGGTGCCATCCCTCCATGTCCCTTCAGACGGACACATGGGACAGGCTCAGGAAGAGGGTGGACAGGGAAGGGGACACCGACCAGGGGCCGAGGAAAGTCCTGACTGTGGGAGCCGCGGCTGGGAGCTGGTTTCAGGCACTGTCAGTCCATTGACAGTGGTGGACCCACTGGACCCCAGACAGCAATCTAGACCCTCAGCAAAGGCCCATGGGAGTGTGGGCGGAGCCCCAGCGAGCCTGTGTCAGGGGAGTTGGGAGAAAGAGGACAGGCTGGTGCGGAGGGGCCGGCAGGTGTGAGGACGGAGAAAGCAGGTGACCATGGCTGGGCTCTGGGAGGCGCTGTGCTGGGCCTTCCACACCAGCAGGAGAAAGCTGGAGGCAGGGCTGGGCTGGCCAGGGGCCAGCGCCTGGGGCTGTGTGAGCGCTGCCTGCACCCCCGTCCCCCCGGCAGCCGCCGCCCTCTCCGAGGGGCTCAGTGCTGGGGGCTCGTCGGCTGCCTGCTCTGCCCTCTGCAGAACTGGTGAGCCCAGAGGGGCCACAGCAGCAGTGAACTGAGAGGGGGGTTCAAGAGCAGGAGCTGGGTGGCCTGGCCGAAACTGTCACCCCAGTTGCGGTGGTTGGGTGGGGACTCAGGACGTGGGGCTTGGCAGAAAGGTGGGGAAGTGTGGGTCCCGATGGGAGGGGAAAGGGGGCCATGGGACAGCCTGGGAAGGTGCCCTCAGCTCAGGTGTCACTAGGGAGCATGGAAATGATTGACATTCCGGGACAGAGCAGAGGGCAGGGCCTCCTGAGAGACACGCCCTGGGCAGGCACTTAGGGAGCAGGTGCCCTTGGTGGGTCCCCCCTGCCGCTCTGGGCTCACGGTGCCATCGATGCTCGGTGTGGGGAGTCCACGGCCAAGCAGAAGGGGCTCAGGTGGTGCGGAGGGAGGGCTCGGCCTTGGCTGCTCGGGGGGGAGGGGGGCACGGGCCTGGTGCAGTCGCTGGCAGTGTCCAGGTTGGGGGGACTTTAGGGACCCCCTCACACCCCGTGTGTGTGGACTGGCCCCTGAGGAACTCAGGACTCACGTCGCTGTTGAGAAAGCAGTAGAGAACGGCCACCACCAGGCCCTGCAGGGAGAAAAGTGGTCAGCGCCTCCACCTCGGTGGGCGGGCAGGACGGATGGATGCGGCCCCGCCCGCACGCACCTGGAAGGATCCCACGCACAGCTCAAACAGGAGCCGGTATCTGGAGGAGGTGCCCGTGGGCAGCACGGCAAACACCATGTAGTGGATGCCGAAGAGCGGGATGAGCAGCAGGGTGGACTTGGCCAGCCTCCTGCAGACAGAGGACCGAGCTGGGCCGGGTGTGACCATGGCGACGTCCCTTGACCCCTCACTGTCCAACGGGGAAGCCCAGCGCCAGGTGGGCCGCAGAGAAGGAATGCCTCGACCTGTCCACCCGGCCCACCCAGGTGTCTGTTCACACGCTCGCAGCACTTCCCGGCGACGGCCCTGGAGGACTCTCCCACTGACTCGCTGAGCCCTCACCACCTTCGTGACAACTGTTCCCCTCGCCGGCCTCCAGCGGTGTGCACCCCGTCGGGCTCCGCGCCCCGGGTTGGAAGGAGACCAGTGAGGCCCACCCTGGGCAGCGGTGCTGCCAGGGTCCCAGCTCTCAGCTGCACTGCCAGCCCCGGCCTGACCTCAGCCGGCGGCTGGGCCCGCACTGCACCAGCGGGCACTTCAGGCTCCCTCACACGTTCTCGTCGGGAATTCACAGAATCATCGTCATTGTTAAGTGTGAGGCCCGGCACTAGTGCCAGCACAGACTGTGGTCTGAGGGGGAAGGAAGAGTCTACATATGCCAGCGACCAGAATGCCGTAACCACCAGAATGATCGGTCGCTATGATGCCCACTGCAGCCAGCGAACCTCCCGGCCAACCCCCCCTGTGGCCCCTCCCCCAGGCTGCTGGCCCCCCCCTTGGCCTCCCCCACCCCATTCAGGGGCAGGGATCACCAGCCAATCACCGGCGGCCCCTCCCCCCAGCAGGCCTGGCCCTGTTCTGCCCAATCTGGGCGAGCTGGCCAGACCCCACCCGTGCACGCGTTCATGCACTGGGCCTAGATAGACATAAAATACAAATGCAGTGTGACCACGGAGAAAAGTCAGATGGCAAAACAGGCCAGTGGGCAAACACCTCAGCGCGGGCTCTGAGGCCTCCATGCTGAGGCCCTGCCCTGGCAAGCTGCCGCACACACGCCTGTCCGGCCAGCCACAGCGGGCCGCCAGACCCAGGACTCCGTGCCTGGAGCCCATTCTTCTGCCCCCCCACACACTGGCTTTGCCCCCTCCCTCTGGGTTTCCAGGCTGTGAGGCCCTGAGGGGAGCTGGGCCCATGGAAACAAGACTCACTTATATTGTGACTGCTCACTGCCTCTGACATCTGGGGACGTCAACTTCTGCAGTAAAATCCGTAAGATACTCACAAAAAGGATAAAATTGACCTGCACAAAAAGAGACAAACGTTTGTTCTCGATTTCTCGCACCGGAGGCGGGGCTGGGGCCGGAGCCCTGCCCACCTGGAGCTGCCCCAGGTCCCGCCGGACACGGTCTGTTGTCTGCATCACGCACTCCGACCCAGCTGCAGCCAGGCACGTAAATTAACGTGGAGACGCGAAAAGGACAGACGGAAATCCAGCTCCTCCCTGACATGTCCTTGGTCAGGCTGTGGCCCCCAGAGGTCCCCACGGGAGGACACAGGAGGCCCTCTGCTTGCCCCGTCTCTGAGGCCTCATTCTGAGGGACGCTGAGTCCAGGACTGGCGGCGCCCCTCCTGTGAGCGGCTCTGGAAGGCCGATGGATGGCCGTTTCCATGCCGCGCAGGACTGGCTGGCCCTGCCCGTGTGGCCACCCGAGGGCGGCTGCTGCCTCGTGCCAGGTTACTTACGAGAATTGAGATTAGAATTGGGGTTCGGATCACCCACCAGGGGCCACTGTGCTCGTTGGTATCCCAGCAACTGCAGGAAGGAGAGAAGGAAAATGACGTCGTCACCGAGTCTGTCCGTGGAGCAGCGAGGACACGTGCCCGGGGGACGCCCTCCCCGGAGCAGCAGGACAGTGGCCCTCCCCACAGACGCCACCCGGTCTGTTCGTCCCTCCTGCTGCCACAGGCCCGTGCGGAGGCACGACTGTGTGTTTAGAGACTCGACGTGACCTCGGGGATTCTGTTTGCTTATTCTTCTCAACGTGACGGTCAGCTAATGGGGAGGTGACACTAAGGGTCACACAGGAGCCCGAGGGGCGGGTCAAGTCCCACGAAAATCCCATGACATGTGGGTCGAAGGCGGGGTCAGTGAGGAACACCAGAAGGTGGCGCCTGGTGCGAACCGTCGGTGCTGCTCCCAGCGAGAGGCCCAGCACTCACCCTGTGTCTTCCAAGCAGAGCCTGGCCACGGCCCATGCCCCCGTGCATCCGGCCGGGATGCCTGCAGAAACACGCCCGTTACCCACAGCCCCTCGCTGCCCGGCCACCCAGGACCAGGGCTGTCTGCAGGAAATGAGGCAGAAACTCCTTACAAGCTCGTACGGGTTTATGCTTGTTCCTTGTTACGCACTGGCGGTCACGCCATACGTGTCTGAAAGCTGACCCTGCACGGCCTGACCCATGTGACTATGCCTGGCAAGTGTGGTGGACGGAGACGTGCCCGCCGGCTGGCGGAGGTGTGTCCCTCTCTGAGTGGGTGTCCCCTGGCGTGACCGCCTTCCTGAGCCCGGTTGGGGCCGGCTTGCTAAAGGTGTGCCTCCTCAGGGCCCTGTCTGGCTCCCACATCGGGTTTGCTCAGCAGTGGGACGTGGCCAGCCTAACCTGGCCCTGGTCCCTGGAGAAACGTTGGCTGCAGGGACCTCGCTGTCCTGGCAAAGCTCTTCCTCAAGTGGCCCGAGGGGCACCTCCTGGGGCAGCACAGTATCTCCCGAGGGGACAGGAGCAGGGACCTGGAGGGCTCATGGGTGGCTGAGGGGGCGCTGGGCACGCAGGCAAGCAGCTGGTGGGCGGGGCGGCCTTACCCCACCCGATCAGGAGATAGGCCTGGAAGCGGCGGCCGGGGGAGAAGCTGGCCACCAGGAGGGTGTGCAGGTGCAGCCCCTCCACCAGCAGCCAGTAGAAGTTGGCCATGATGCAGTACTGGAAGAACACCAGGCTCAGCTTGCAGCCCACCTGGAACGTCAGAGCAAGAGAGCATGTCCCGTTCAGAGAAACACACTCAGGCGGGTGCAGCCGCCCTGGGACACAGCGCGCGCCCCCCCCCCCCCCCCCCGCGTTTGTGTAAAGAAACAGGAAACCCAGCAAAAGGGCAGGTGCATCTTACAGAGAGGCCCTCGCATCCCAGCCCGGGGCACAGAGGTCACTGGAAGGGGACACAAACATGGGAGGGGTTATGGAGTCCCCAGCGACAGTAGGCTGAAACCTGAGCTGCGGGCATGTGTGGCCCCAGCTCCTTGCCTGCCTTCTGCCTCCTCTACCTCGTCCCATTCTCAGCCTCCCTTCTCTCTCTGTTCTTTTCCACTGTCCTCTCTTCACAAGAGACAAGCAAGTAAAGAGAAACCAGCAAACGAATGGTCCCCGACAGCTGTGAGGGCCACCTTCCCTCTGAGGACCCCCCGGACGGCCTTACCCAGGAGGCCAGCTGGTCGGGGCAGTGCAGGGTGCTGGAGCCGGAGTACAGCACGTCGTCCTTGACCAGCACCGAGACGGCCCTCAGGATGAAGGAGAGGAACAGGTTGAGGTGGATGTAGTTCCGGGTGCAGTGCAGCCGCCTGTGGGGAGGAGGGAGATACTCAAACATGGATTTTGTGAATTTGCAGGAATGTTAGAGCCCCTGTGTGAGCACAGCAAGGTTGCTGAGCAGGATTAACTTGCAGAAATCAGCTCCTCCCCGACGCAACCAGGAATGGAACCAGCCCTGGCCGGTGTGCTCAGTGGGTAGAGCGTCAGCCTGAGGACAGAGGGTCTTGGGTGCGATTCTGGTCAAGGGCATGTAGCTCAGTGGCAGGCTCCTCCCCGGCCCGGGCCCTGGTGGAGGCTCATGCAGGAGACAACCAATCAATATTTCTCTCTGTCTTTCCCTCTCTCTGTAAATATCCTTGGGTGAGGATTAAAAAAAAAAAAAAGAAATGGTATCTAACAAAATACATAAAACAAAATAAATACCTAGAAATGACTATCAGAAGAGAGGCAGACTTTACCCCAAATCACAAAACATTATTGAAAGAAATGAAAGAAAACTAAACAAATAGGAGGATCTATTATTATCACAGATTGAATGACTCAAAATTATAAAGATACTAACTACTCTATCCAAACTGATCTATAAATTCAATGCCATCAAAATGAACCCTGCAGAGGGTTTTTAAAATGCCAACTGACAAGCTGATTTTTAAAAATTCACACCTAAGTGCAAATGGCCAATGAAAAAGAAAGGTGACAGGCTCAACCAGCAGAAATCCAGATTTAGGATGAAGGTGCAGGAATCACAACAACGTCAAAATGGCAGAGTGACAGGCGAAGAGGCAAACGGAACAGCAGGGCGTCGGTCCTGCTGGTCCTGATGCAGTCACAGCCCGGCGTCAGGCCGTGTGCACTGGACGCTCGGACACCCTGACGGGCCTCTGGAAAGACAAGCAGGACCGACCCCACCTCGTGCCACACACTGAACCCAATGGCAGGTGGAGGATAACCTCACCGTGAGAAGTGAGAATAATAAAATGTCTCTGATAACAAAGGAATATGCCAATGATTTCTTAAACAGGATGCGGGGCACCGACCTAAAGCCAACAAAGAATTACGTCATTAAAACCAACAACTTTTCTTCCTCAAAAGACCCAGGAAGAGTGTGTAAAGCCGAACTACAGACTGGAGATGAACTCCCAGCACCGCATCGGACAGGACCTGCTGCAGGACTCCTAAGAGCACGTTTATAAAGAGACACCACGACTAGGAAACGAGCCAGCACTCAAACCGTGCTCACAGAAAAGATTTCCAAGCACATGCTCTCATGACCACAGGGAAATGCAAATTAACACACAGTTTTATGTTATGATTATAGACCCACCTGGGCGGCTAGTTTTAAAACTGATGGCGAGAGGTGGCGACAGGATGCAGCGTGAATAGAAGTCTCCCCTCAGCTGGTAGGCATGGCTGAGGCCACCACTTTGGGAAATTAGTGGGCAGGACCTAGAAAGACTGAACCTATGCATAGTCTATGACCAGTACATGCAGCACACATGTGAAGTAAGCATTGCCGTAAGTGTGTGCACATAAACACAACACATACCTTAAGTGTGCACTTACGATGGATGGGTTTCCTGTAAAATGCGAGTGAGAGAACCCACAGACAGAGGAGTGCCCTTTGCATGACTCCAACACACGTTCGCAGAGCGACAAAGCATCGCAGGCACCGACTGAGCTGCTTTGGGCACTGGCCTGGCCCCCTCCGTCGCAGGATGCTCCTGGCTAGCAGTGTCCACTCACCCTGGGCGCGCGCACTCGCAGACGGCCTAGCTGCCGGAAGCCCCGCACTCCCCGGAGGTTCAAAACTCTGTGGAACCTTCGTCAGCGAAGACGTTGAGTACAAAGTGAGTTTTCTGGGTGTCTCCAGGGCAACCCGGAGGCTGCCCCTCATGGGGGAGACTGCTGTGGGGCCCAGCTCCCCAAGGCTAAGTCCCCACAGCGATGCTGCTCTGTTTCGGGGGCTTCTGGGGCGGGGGTGACACTCGTCTCTCCAAACTGCCTCTTCTTCCTCTTCTCCTTTTCTCCTTCTCCTGCCCACGCTCTCACCTGTTTCTTCCCACCGAGTGGGTGTGGGTTTATCGCTGTCACCAAGCATGCACACACATCCCATTTGCCGAGCTCTGTCCTTTGTCACTCATCACTCATCTAAACATGTCACCTCTGAGTCCAGATCTACGGATGGACGCCGGTGTGGCTCAGCCGCTGAGCGTCTACCTAAGAACCAGGAGGTCACTGTTTGATTCCCAGGCAGGGCACATGCCTGGGTTGCGGGCTCAGTCCCCAGTGGGGGGCATGCAGGAGGCAGCCGATCAATGATGCTCTCTCATCATTGATGCTTCTATCTCTCTCCTTCTCCCTTCCTCTCTGAAATCAATAAAAACAACACACACAAGAGCAAAGTGTGGCTTCCAGATAAGCCGGCTGCGCCCTGTTCCTCCGTGACGCTGGAACGGACTTGGAGACCACGCCCACCACGGAAGGGGGAGGCTCTGCGCTCAGGCCTCCGCACGGGCACACGGCCTCCTCCTCTAGCTGGTGCCACCGGGCACTGGGAGCACTTGGCCGTGAGGACTAAATTGCAAACACCTGTAAAAGGCGTGGCAGGACGTACTGGCGATCACGGCTGTTATTGTGGGCCGGGGGCGGCGGGGGGGGGGATCAGAGCTGTCAAGTCAAATGCCCGGACCACAGGACATGCTCAGGGCAGCCGCTGCCATGACCCCAGTGAGGGCGGGGCCTGTGCTTGCACCGACGTCCACAAGGCACCTGGGAAGTGGCACCCTTTCTCTCTGCATAAAACCAGGAGGTGGTAGGTTGATGTGTGTGGGGCTATGATAGAAAGTACAGAATTCTCTTTCTGGGGCTTTAGAATCCCCTCTCTCACAGCTGTCCAGGGAAGTGGCTCCGATCCATCCAACAGATGGAGACAGGGAGGGAACAGCATTTCCGTGCCCAGACCAGGGCAGAGCCGAAGCCTGCTCAGCCCTGGGAGATGTTTCTAGCCGTCCTGGCTCTGTCAGCAGCAGAGGACGCTGCGGCTTGCGTCTGTGTAACCAAGAGGTCTCACAGCAGGGACTGCCTATGGCCATGCACAGAGGGCTGATTCATAGCATAAAGCCACTTCCAGCCTCTGAAAGAGTCACTTCCATGTTTCTGATAACTCCCAAACACTGGGAGTCTGGCTCAGTAAACACACCGCACAGGCCAATCTGAATGCAACCACAGATGACAAAAACATGGGGTTGTTCAGCTCTTGGAAAATAAGGGGAAATATTTATTTTAAAAAATATATATTTATTGATTTTTTACAGAGAGGAAGGGAGAGGGATAGAGAGTTAGAAACATCGATGAGAGAGAAACATCGATCAGCTGCCTCCTGCACACTCCCTGCTGGGGATGTGCCCACAACCAAGGTACATGCCCTTGACCGGAATCGAACCTGGGACCCTTCAGTCCGCAGGCTGATGCTCTATCCACTGAGCCAAACCCGTTAGAGAGGAAATATTTCTTTCTAGTTTGTTACCCTGAGTCAGCTTCCCTTCCTAACATTTCCTTTTTTTTTTAAAAAAAAATATTTTATTGATTTTTCACAGAGAGGAAGGGAGAGGGATAGAGAGCTAGAAACATCGATGAGAGAGAAACATCGATCAGCTGCCTCCTGCACACCCCCCACTGGGGATGTGCCCGCAACCAGGGTAATGCCCTTGACTGGAATTGAACCTGGGACCCTCCAGTCCGCAGGCCAACGCTCTGTCCACTGAGCCACACCCGTCAGGGCTCCCTTTCTTTTTCATGCTGAAAAATTCGAAGGTATGCACCCTATGTTCACAGCAGCACCATTTACAATCCCTAAGGTCTGGAAGCAGCCCACGTGCCCATCAGCAGACGAGTGGATAACAAGCTGTGGTACATCTACACCATGGAGTACTACTCGGCTGGGTAAAAGAAAGAACTCTTACCATTTGCAACAGCACGGAGGGACCTGGAGAGCATTATGCTAAGTCAGAGAAAGACAAGTATCACATGATCTCACTCATATGTGGAATCTAATGAACAAAATAAACTGATGAACAAAAATGGACCCAGAGACATGGAAGCATGGAACAAACTGTTGAGCCTCAGGGGGAAGACAATGGGGTGGTGAGGGCCTGGGAGGAACGGCTGGAAGAGGTCAATGGGGGGTCAAAGGGGAACGTATGTAATACATTCAACAATAAAGATTTAAAAATGTATCCATATATGTAGTAAAACATAGAAGATAGTACACAAAGGCTCATGTGGACCAGCCTTTTTTTTTTTTTTTTAAAGAACTAGAATATGATAGATGTTGCTCACATTTTTCGAAGTACATGTTTTTTCTGAGAATTACCAGTCACCTGATATAGGTGAGAGGCCTGAAAAATGGTAAGTACCATTTATTGCCATTTGCTGATGCCGCAGCTCTACTCTTCATTCACTTATTTAACTGGCAAGCATAGACCTGCTCAAGTGTGTGAGGTTCTAAAGACGTCCCACCTGTTATATCATGTATTCATCTCAATATGTGAACTACATCTCAGCAAAAAGTCATCAGATATGTGACGATCAAAACCCTGTTAAAATAAGCTCAGTATCATTCCTTCTACTTCGTGCCAATGATGCCTGAAATGGGTTTAGTCCTAAATACACTTAGTAGCGTTTTCTAGACAGAAGCATCTGTTGTAGGACCAAAGTCTCCACTCTTCACCCTCCCTGACAAACAACATGTGCCATTCGCTACTAACGAGGCTGCAGAGGTTTAGATGGCGCCAGGACTCACCTCACTACGTGGAAAACACAGGCCAAATGTAGAGAGCCTGCCCCATGCCATATGGGTCCACGGGAATCCATACTTACAGACGCACAGAGAGGTTGAGTGATGTGCCAAAGGTCACACAGCTGCTAAGAGACGGACCCAGGATTTGAACCCAGGCAATCTGGACCCACCTTTTTATTCTCAAACACATGACAGTGTCTGTCAGTGGAGCACTGACAGCCCGATGGCGAGTGCTGCCTCTGTGTTCTGCAGCATCTGCACAGCCGCTGTATGTGGTAATGATGCCGGGACTGAACCCTCACCAAGGCCAGTGTGCTGTCTTTATGGACGGAGTGCAGGAGAGTGAAAAAAACCATAAATGCTGGCATCGCCTTTCACTCCGGCACCCCGGGCGCTGCCTAGGCTCAGCGCAGAGAGTGCTCCGGCCGTGGCCTTCTATCCTCCCCAGATGGGCTCAGCTGTCATAAACCGACAACCCCCATCTCCTATTCCTGCAGAATTGCTCATTTGTGCTACTTACCTGAAGAGGCAAAGGATTACGCTTCCTGTAGTAAGGGAAGCCAGAGAGACGCTGTAGCCCAGGGTGTAAGTGGCCTTCACCAGAACATAGAACGTGATCTACAAAGACAGACAAGCCTTTGTGAGCGGCGGCTGCAACAGCCTGGAGCCGTCCTCCCCCCAACCACCTCCATCCCAACCCCAAGGTGACATTTCCTCTTCCAACAACACCTTTCCCTTAAGTTCACGGTGGGTGACTTGGGACGGTTCTGTAAGCAGGTCTGTCCGAAGGGGCAGCAGGGGTGTGCAGGGCATTCCAGGAGACCCCAGGCTGGGGCCCCCGGCCAAGGCCTGTCCCCACAGGGTCTGCACTCCGCAGTAATACCTGCTGTGCTTTCAATGTTTCTTTCAACAATAAAATGCTCAGCTCCAAGTGGACATTTTAATCTCAGGAATATACAAGCGCTCTGATGACCACAGGGTTCTGGAAATGCCATGACTCATACCAAAGACAGAGAGGAAAATCCAGCAGTAAAAAGCGGGGGGCATGGCTGAACCCCTGTTCTTCCCCAAGCCCACCCGCCTGACAGCAATGACCCATTTCAAATTTCCAATTAGAAACCAGGGAGGAAGAAAATGTTCCTACTTCTGTGTTCTGTAGTATGTGTGTGTGATTGTGTGTGAGTTTGTGTGAGCGTGTGATTGTGTGAGCATGTGTGTGTGTGTGAGTGTGTATGTGTTTGTGTTAGCATGTGTGTGTGTGAGTGTGAGCATGTGGGTGTGAGTGTGTGTGAGCATGTGACTATGTGTGCGCATGTGAGTGTGACTGTGGTGTGTGAGCATATGAAGGTGAGCGTGATTGTGTGTGTGAGTGTGACTGTGAGTGTGATTGTGTGTGAGCGTGTGAGTGCGTGTGTATGTAGGTGAGTGTGAATGTTCATGCGATTGTGTGTATGTGAGTGTGATTGTGTGAATTTGTGTGTGTGCATGTGTGTGAGTGGGTGAGTGTGAGTGTGCATGAGTGTGACTGTGTGTGAGTGCGTGTGTGGGGGGGTGAGTTTGAGTGTGGATGTGAGTGTGATTGTGAGTTTGTGTGAGCACAAGTGTGTGGGTGTGAATGTGCATTAGAGTGATGGTGTGTGTGCATGTGTGAGTGTGTGACGGTGTGTGTGTGAATGTATATGTGAGTGTGTGGGTGTGAGTGTGTATGTGAGTGTGTGTGCTCGTCAGTGTGTGAGTCTGTGTGAACGTATGTTTTTGAGCATGTGAGTGCACGAGTGGGTCTGTGAATGTGCATGTATGATTGTGTGCTTGTGAGTGTGTAAGTTTGTGTGAGCGTGTTTTTGTGTGTGAGCATGAGTATGTGTGATTGTGTGTTTGTGTGTAAGTTTGTGTGAGTGTGCGAGTGTGCATGTGACTGTGTGTGAGCATGTGTATGAGTGTGAGTGTGTGTGTGAGAGTGTGTGTGAGTGAGCATGTGGGTGAGTGTGAGTGTGTGAGTGTGACTGTGTGGGTGAGTGAGTGTGAACATATGTGTGCTCTCCTCTCCCTTACTTTTCCCGGGATTCGGTCCCGGCAGAGAAGAGCGGCTGCGGAAGCCCTCGGAGGTGCCTTCCCACCCAGGTGACAGGTGGGGGAGCTGTCAGTCTCTGACGTCCCGGCTGCATTGCTTCCCAGCTTTGTCTCAGGAGAAAAGCAGATGATGGGCAAGGGTTCGGAAAATGTCCTTAAAATTCTAATTTAGGTTTTTGTCCATTTCCCTTTTATTTTCTAACTGAGGGGTTGTGACTAGCAGCTGCTTTCCAGCACTTCACCCGTGATACAAGTTCAGTGAAATAAAATCTTTCAAAACTTTCAAAAGCGTAGAAAACAAAATGCAGACAGCATGCAGGCTACCGGCAGCACCCCCCCGCCCTGCTGGTCACGGGCAGGCGCCCCGTCAGGCACAGGCTCCGCCTGGCTCAGCGGCACGCGGCCTGCGCCCTGGTGCTCTGTCTGCTGCATCTTCGTGGAGCTCGCTTTGCCCTCCCTCAGCCCCACGGTTTCAAACCTGCGCCCCCAGTTCTGCAAACGCTGGCAAAGCAGGGAGGTGGGAGCGAGCTGTGACCCACGGGAAGGGACCAGCTCCACGGCCTCGGAGAGAGCGAGTCCGGCTGAGTCTCAGGCCTTCGAGGTGAAACAGGCACAGCGGCGCGTGCCCTTCTTCTCGGAGGGTCTTGGTGAAGAGAAAGACTCGGACACCAGGAGCTGAGGAGCGTGAGCCGGGCCTGGCTCGCAGGGCGCCGCCGGCTCCCTCCCCGACGAGGCGTGGCCCTGCCTGGGGACAAGGCCGCCCCTTCCGCGTTCTGGTTCCTACACGCAGCACCCTGCTCTCCGCAGACACAACTGTCCAAGGACACAGCCTCTGAACTATCCAGGCCCCATCGTCCCCAAGCAGGTGACACCCCAACACCCATTGTTTTCTCCTCCACTGAACAGATCGAGGCGTCTCCTCTTCTCAAATCTGCAGCACAAATTCTGGCCCAAAACAGCCGTCAGATCAGAACCAAGCCCGGAGCAGGAGGCGCCAGGCCTCGGGTTCCGCGCCAGCGACACGCGCTGGGGAGAGTGCGAGTGGCCCCGGGCTCTCGACCAGGGGTCTTGGGTTCGACACCCCATAACCTGTGACTTCATTTGCCATCCTGAGCAAACATTTACTTTTATGCTTAATTCTCTATTTTAATGTGTTCTTTTTCCTAAAGCCAGGCCTCACTTTAAGCTCAGGCCGCACGGACACCCGGGTGGCTCAGGGGAGGTTGTGTACGTGCGGAAAGGGTGTGGGCTCCCGGCGCCCGGGCTCCCGGCGGGTCCTCGTCACGGCACCGCGTTGCCAGGCAGACGCTCTCAGAGCTCCATGTGTGAGACTTTGATTCGATGCGTGTCCCCAGGACCACACCCAGGTGGATGGGGGGGAGGGCTGCTTCCTCAGCCCTCCCGGCTGCAGGGGCGCCTGCGATGGGCTCCCGGTCCCCTCACGCTGCCGGCCCCCACGGAGGCCCTGCCTGAGCCCACACTGAGTCCCCGTCCAGTCCCCGTCATGGACTCTGCGTGAGCCTACGTCCTGCCCGGGGGCGCCCTCCCCCGAGACGCGGCAGCGGCCAGCACTCTCCAGCCCTGGAGTGACTGTCACAGCCCTTCTCCCCTGGAGGTCCTGGTTTGCCTCCGTCTGGTCTGCACCTTGAGGGC